CAGGGTCACACAGCCCATTCATTTTCAAAGGTGTAACTTAAATGGAAATCTTGCAATTCCCGGTTCCGTTCTCTACCCACTACAATATAATCACCATCACTAACCTTCCAGTAGCAAGTTAGAAAGTCTAAAATAGAACGGATTTAGAATCAGTGCTAGTTTACCTGAGAAGCATGAATTTTAAACTCACTTCAGAAGAAAAATAGATGTATAATGATAATTTGTGGTTTAATGTTAATTACAACTCTGCTAGAACTGGTTATTTACCTTTTTAAACCCCATTGAGCACACTCAGCATTCACAGCCATGTGAAAAAACATTAACATGTTAAGTAGAAACACAAGCTTCTAAGTTGTTCGTCTAGAAGACAATTGTAATTTTGAAGATAAATGAATAAGTCTACATTAATATTGGGGCAGCTAGGTGGCACGGTGAATAGAGCACCAGGCCTGGAGTCAAGAAGACCTGAGTTCAAATCTGGCCTCAGACACTTACTAGATGTATGACCCTGGGCAAGTCACTTAACCCTGTTTGCCTCCATTTCCTCATCTGAAAAATGAGCTGGAGAAGGAAATGGCAAACCACCCTACTTTCTTTGCCAAGAAAGCCCCGAAAGGGGTCATGAAGAGTTGAACATGACTGAAATGACTTAACAACAACAACACATTAATATCGGAGAGCTGGCCTGGCAGCATGACTTGGACCTGGGCTCGTGTCTCATGTATTATATATACTATCTCTGTGACCCTGGGCAAGCAATTACTGCTCTGGTCATCCCCAGGTAGCTCTAAGAATACGACTTAACAGAGAAAGTGCTGGCTGACCTGCAATGACAGAGGGAGTTTCCTCCAATAAAATCAAAGGTCCAGTCCTGTACTACTACAGTACTCTGTACTACAAATTACATTCACGTTTTGCACTTTAACAGTTTGTTTATTGCAATCGTTGAAGATCAAGAGAGAAATGAGACATATTCAACTACTCCCAAACAGGCCTCTGATTCTTTGCTTATGCTGTTGTTTTTGCATGGGACGCCCTCTCACACCCCTTTCCCTGTTGAAGATTACTGAACTGAATTCTTTTCACCCTACTTTAACGTTTAATATTAATGCCATGTGCTAGAGGAAGCCTTCCCTGACTCTCCTTTCCTAAGTGGATAATGACTTTGACTTTCTTGAACTAACAGACTGATGGGCTCACATCTCTCTTGTGCAGTTATCACAGGTTACTGTGGATTGTTTTCATTTGCATTGTGGCTTATTTCCCTTTGTTAGGTTTTAAACTCCAGGAAAGCAGGGACCAGGTCAAAACCCAGAGATGTAACTAAAATGTTTTCTTCTTCTGGGGCAAAAATAGTTGTGGGGCAGAAATGCAAATGACAAGGATGGGAGTAGGTTGAGGAAGAAGTAGAATGCCCCCTCTTTTTCCCTCCATCTTTCATTGGCTGGACCATGACCCTGTTCCCTCTTTCTCTCTCTTTGGGCCACCTGCCCCAACTTCCATGAGGTCAGAGGTTGGCAGCCCACAAGATATAAGGACATTAGTCTCCAAACCTCAGAAGGAAAGAATCATACTTATTTATATAAGTGGCTGGAGCAAAGGCCCAGCTGCCTTGCCTTAGTTATAGTTCTGCCTAAAGTGTATATTTTTCCTCAGTGTCAATTACAGAGCTATATAAACAGTAGGTACTTAATAAATATTTGTTGGAACAGAGTACATTATAAGGATAGCCATACCACAATAATGAGGAAAAACAGAGAGATGGCCCAAATGTGGTACTGGCCTTTATGAAACATTAAAAGACATAGAGGATGGCATTTCTAGAAGGATAAGAACAAGAATTTCATAGGAGGAGAAGGAATGGATAATTGGGATCTCCTTAGTAAAGAGGATACCAACAGGGATAGTATCATATATCAATTAGATGATAACCATACAGAGAAGAACTAGAATCAAGGTGGAAGGCAGAAGGAGGCTGACTCCAACTCGGGAGTAACATAAAGAAAAGCTTCCTTAAAAGACTGAATGCTGAGAGACACAGTAGTCAATGACTGTAGTAATCTACTGTTTGATAAACCCAAAGACCCCAGCTTCTGGGATAAAAGTTCACCATTTAACAAAAACTGCTGGGAAAACTGGAAAATAGTAAGGCAGAAACTAGGCATAGGCCAGCATCTTACACCATATACCAAGACAAAGTCAAAATGGGTACATGATTTGGATATAAAGGCTGATATTATAAATAAACTAGGAGAGCAAGGAATAGTTCACCTGTCAGATATATGGAGGACAGAAGAATTTATGACCAAACAAGAGATAGAGAACATCATGAAATGCAAAATGGATAACTGATTACATTAAATTGAAAAGTTTTTGTACACACAAAGCCACTGCAACCAAGGTTAGAAGGGAAGCAGAAAACTGAGAAGCAATTTTTACAACCAGTGTCTCTGATAAAGGCCTCATTTCTAAAATATGTAGAGAACTCAATCAAATTTATAAGAATACAAGTCATTCCCCAAGTGATAAATGGTCAAAGGATATGAAAAGGCAATTTTCAGATGAAGAAATGAAAGCTATCTATAGTCAAATGAAAAAAAAATGCTCTAAATCGCTATTGATTAGAGAAATGCAAATCAAAACAATTCTGAGGTACCACATCACACCTATTAGATTGGCCAAGATGACAAAACAAGAAAATGATAAATGATGGAGAAAATATGGAAAAATTGGAACACTAACGTGTTGTTGGTGGAGTAGTGAACTGATCCAACCATTCTGGAGAGTCAATTCGGAACTATGCTCAAAGGGTCATAAAACTACGCATACCTTTTGATCCAGCAACACCACTTCTATGTCTGTATCCCAAAGAGATGTAGGAAAAGAACCCACATGCACAAAAATATTTATAGCAGCTCTTTTTGTGGTGGCAAAGAATTGGAAATTGAGGGGATGCCCATCAATTGGGGAATGGCTGAACAAGTTGTGGTATATGAATGTAATGGAATTCTATTGTTCTAAAATAAATGATGAGCAGGTGGATTTCAGAAAACTCTTGGAAAGATTTTAATGAACTGATGCTGAGTGAAGTGAGCAGAACCAGAAGAACCCTGTAACACAGTAACAGCCACATTGTGTGATGACTAACTTTGATAGACTTAGTTCTTCTCAGTAATGCAAGGATCTAAGACAACTCCAAAAGACTCATGATGAAAAATAGCTATCCATGTCTGGAAAAAGAACTATGGAGTCTGAATGCAAATCAAAGCTGACTATTTTCTCTCTCTTTTTGGGGGGGGGGAGTTCTTCTTTCTTGTGGTTTCCCCCATTGGTTCTAATTCTACTTTACAACATGACTAATGTGAAAATATGTCTAATATGAATGTAAAAATAGAACCTATATCAGATTGCACGCTGTCTTGGGGAGGAAGAAAGAGGGGGAGAAAATTTGGAACTCAAAAGTTTATGGAAGTGAATGTTGAAAACTAAAAACAAATTAATTAAAAAAAACTAAGTGCTAATTAAAACCACAATGGTCTCCTTTGTGAAGTAATGAGCTCAGTATCTATGGATATATTCAAACCAGGGGTCAGATGACCATCTTTCAAGGGTGTTACAAAGATAATTATTGTACTGGATGTTTCTCTGTGGCCTCTTTTCATCTCCAAGATGCCATTCTTTTTACCATATCATTCTTCCTAGTTCTTCTGTGCTCAACATAAAAATTTACACAGGGAATCTTAATTTGGGGTCTCTGAACTTGTTTATGTAAAAATATGATAACCATTTTAATATAATTATTTCCCCTTACATTATTCTGTGTTTTATGCATTTAAAAACATAATTCTGAGGAGGGGTCCAATGTCAAAGGGATTGATAACACATAAGAACCCCTATTTTACATACCGAAGATGATTAATATGTTTCGTGAAGTGAGTAGAATATTCTATAACTAAATATTTAAATGTTTTAATGAACCTAGAAAACTTTAATAGAGAATAATTCTGAGTTTTCTATTGTAATTTGGAATTTAGCTAACATTTATTTATGGGCCGTATAGATGTACTTCCATAAAGAGTCCACTTAATATATTGGGTTTAATTGTCTCTCTTGATTCGAGCACAGTAAATTGGATCAGATAATTCTGCCCTTAAAATAGGTGTTGGGGGGTAAGTAGGATAACTCAAGTGGGGGCAACCAGGGATTTGTTCCAGGGCATGAAACTGTAAAAGACACTAATCATGCTTATTCTGCAACATAGAAGCTATTAACCTAAGCACAAAATAATTAGCTCTAGGCAGTGGTTTCTTCCCTTGAGGCTATACCTCAGCTGCCCGTCCTTGTCCTTGCTCTTCTCCTCTTATTCTCTCCCTCACCCCCAGAGGTATCCCAGAGGATTATCTATCTCTCTTTTTCTCCAACAAATAAATTTGTTTTAGTAAGTTGATTAAAAGACATCATTCATGTTGCTAGACTAAAGCAAGTTATTTTTGTTTTTTGTTTTGCTGCTTTTACCCAGGGCCACAATTATTAGTTATGACTCTAGATGGGTGTGGAATTATCTCACTTGTTTCTAAAGCAGCCAAAGTAATCAAATGATAGACAAACTCTCTCCCTCTTTTGCATTGTGGGATATGACAGGCCTGTGAGTCTTTCTGAAGTGTAGAAGAAAATATCTACCATGCTTTCCATTTATACTTTTGCCACTAGAGGAAGATTTATTTTGTTTTTATGCAACATACTGACACAGTCTGTATATACGGGGCTAAAGGACATTAAAGCCTTCATTTCAAGCTTCTCTGAAACATCTATCCAAGCCCCAATTCAAAGTGAGCATGACATTCAGTTGACCATTCACCAAGACAATGGAGGGCAAAGGAACATGCCAGATTCACAAAGAAGTACATTCTGAATGAAAGCGTAGCATTATGGAAGATCAGCACCATGGCACTGCATACAGCTGATATGGTAGCCTCCCACTGGTATTTTCCATGCATTACCTGGATGGAGAATTTTGGTTCTCCCATTAGCGACTCCAGATGAGGATGCCTCCATTTTTATTGACCTTCGGACAGGTGGGAGTGAAGAATGCCTAACCACAAGTGGTCGATGGGAGGCTGGACGGCTGGCCACACTTCGCCTTTGATGGATTTGCAAATGCTTTTCAGCCCCATGAAGAGATAAACTTAAACCTGGAATGAGAAACAGCACCATTCTATTGCAGAGGTCAGTTTGAGATGTCTAAAAGGCAAATTGGTTTAGTTTAAGTTGGTAGCTGGTACAAGTAAATTAATGTCATCAAGTCAAAAGACAAACAAATGCACAATCCTTTCAAACTATTAAAGGATGCTAGACATATCAAAATTTGCATACAAGAGAATTTTCATGGCATCAGTTTTGTGAATGACAAACCCAGATTGAGTTGAGTTTTGTAGATTCTCTCTCTCTCTCTCTCTCGGTCTCTCTCTCTCTCTCTCTCTCTCTCTCTCTCTCTCACACACACACACACACACACACACAGACACACACACACATACAAACACACACATTTATAGAGACACAGATAAATTTACTTTTATTCTGAACAACAAGCACAAAATAAAATGAGCATTTCCATATAAAGAGAGGTATAGAAAAAGTAGGGTAGAGCTCCGAATCTATGATGTACAGCTCAATTTTCCTTTTAAATATATAGTAAATGCAATATGTAGCTTTCAAAGTCTTTATGCTTGTCAATAGATACATATTTACATTCATTCACCTACCTATCCATCTACTCATCTATATGTCTTTCTCTCTGTCCATATATTCATTCATCCATCTCCTTCCTAATCCATTCATCTACCCACCCACCTATCCATCTACTCCTCTACCCACCTATCAATCCATTCTTCCATCCATCTATCTATCCATGTATTTTTCTACCTACTGAAAAACAAGGTGACCCAATGGATAGGTCAGCTTTGGTGTCAGAAAGGTCCATGTTACCATCCTACCTCTGACACAAACTCATCATGTGACCCTGGGCAAGTCATTGAACCTCTCAATGACCCTCTCAGGAAACTCTCTAAAACTCTAAGTTACAAATAAGTGGCTTTTCTGCACTGGTGTACAGTATTTTCAAAATGAGAATTCCCTACAGTCAATGTCTAGACCAAAAAAAACCACCCCAAACCCAAACTAGAACCATTCCTATTTCCATCTTCAACAATAGCTGATATTGGCTTACGTAGTACTTTGTGCATGGAACTGATCTGGCATTTGAGAAGCAGGGTTCAAACATTGTCTCTCTCCCTTAGGAGTTATATGACTTTGGAGAAATCACTAATCTCCCTGGGCCCTGGTTCCCTCATTTGTGAAATGAGGTGGTTGGATTATATACACTCTGAGGTTCCTTTAAGCCCTTGGTTTATGATCCTATGATCTGACTTGAATCTCATAACAAACCTGTGGGGTGTTATTCCATCCATTTTACAGATGAAGAAAACTGAGGCAGGGAGATCATACAATGATAGCTTTAGAGTTGAAAAGACCCTCAGAGGCCATCTAGTCTAATTTCACAAATAAGGAAATCAGAGCCTAGGGAGTTTAAGTGACTTACCCAAAGTTACAAAGATAATAAATGTCAGAGATAGGTTTAGAACTCAGATCTTCTGACTCTCGAGGCAGTATACTTTCCACTCTCTTTTTCCAGTCTCTCATCTTGTTTCTGGCAAGGTATTTATTTATCTCTACATATCTGTCTGCTTATCTTTATATCGACCCACCTATATGTCCAGTTTTGAATACATTGTGCTTGTTGTTTTAAATACTAACTAAACTTTAAGATCTCCAGGTCCCGCCCACCATTCGGGAAAAACCTAAAAGGAAATGGGTAGATGTAACTCTTCCTTACCATCTCATGGATGAACTTAGATGACCTTTGAAAACTGGAGAACATGGGTGTAGATTCCAGAACCCCCTCAAGACAACATATCCCTCTGAAAGCTAAGTGGGCACACTAGATCTTGCTAACTCATGGGGATCTTACACTTTTATTAGTATGTTGTAGTTGTGCATACTGGCACATCTTCCTCCCTCCCTCCCTCCCTCCCTCCAGTGCAATAAAAAATGACAACTATGAGGAATTCAAACACTGAAGATATGTATGAACCGATATATACAGTAAAATGCAAAGAACCAAGGAAACTATATATATATATGCATATATATGTATATATATATGCATATATATATATAGTAATTACAAAAATGTGTGAATGAAAAAAAACTTATTAAGGCCCTACTATGTGCCAGGTATTGTCCTAATCACCAGAGATAGAAAGGCACAATGAGACAGTCCCTGACCCCAAGGAGTTTACACAAGGATAGGGGGAGACAATACATGTATCAGAGAATAGTTAGAAAAGAACCATGTGGAATGAGAGTAAAGCCGTGGGTTTGGGTGGGGTAGGGGACAGATGTAGTAGGAATCAGAGCAAATGGCCAGACACCAAGAGTGGGTGGCTACATGGAACGTGTGGAATGGTCAGCAACATATGGTTGGTTTGTTGACTTTATACTTATTGACTCACGAAAGAAGAAATGTGAGAAGACACCCTCCCCTCTCCTTCATTGGGATGGGGGCTTAAAGATATGGCACCCTGCATTGTAAGATTGGACCTTTTTTGCTATGTTTGTTGGTTGAACTGAACTGCTTCCCTCTTCCCCCCACCCTTCAATTCTTTGTTATGAAGCATGGGATGCAGAGGGAGCTGGGATATATTGAGTGACAGAAAAGGAAAATAGCAATAAAGATTTTAAAAACAGAAATGTGAGTTCTTACTGTGATTATCACTGTAGTAAAGTCCCATTAAATGTCTGGTCCAATAACAATTCCTCAGCAAATAAAACAATAATCCTGTTCATAAAACTGACTCTCAGTTCTTTTATGGCAGAAAAGATGATTGCAGTCTGTCCATCTGCCCATCCATTGAATCAGCTTTTGTTGTATACCTACTATGTGCTAGGCAATGGTAATACAGACAAAAACAAAATACGTCCTGCCCTCAAGGAGTTTGTGTTGTATTAGCAGAAACAACACTTATGCTCATAAGTAAATCCAAAGATTGACAAGTAAATACAAAGTCATTTCTGGAGAGGGCACCACAAACTGAGGGAGAGGGTGGGAATCAAGAAAGGCCCCAGATAGGAGGAATCACTTGAACTGAGTTTTGGGTAAAGACGGGGATTCTAAAAAGAAGAGGTGAGGGAGTAAATTTTTTGGGCTAGGTAATTGGGGTTGAGTGACTTACCTAGCGTCACACAGCTAGTAAGTGTCAAGTGTCTGAGGCTGGATTTGAACTCAGGTCCTCTGGACTCCAGGGCCGGTGCTCTTTGCACTGCACCACCTAGCGGCTCCTGGGAGTATATTTTAAGTGTAAGGATATTCTGAATAAAGGTGGGGAGACAGGAGAAGCAGCATAGGGGACAAAGAAGAGTAGGCAGTCAAGTCTGGTTGGAATGTGCTTGAGAAAGGGAATAATATGTAATAAATCTAGAAATGTAGGCTGGCGCCAAATTATGAAGGACTTGAAGTACCCAACAGAAGAGTTAGTGTTTAATTCATCCATCAATTAATTAATTAACAAATATTTATTTAGGACCTACTATGTAATGGGCGCTGGGGACGCAAGTACAAAAAATGAAACAACTCTCTCTCAAGAGACTTAGACTCTAATGGAGGGCTGGACACTAGCTCTAAAATATATACAGTGTAACTAGAAAGTAAATAAATGTAAAGGCTTTAAATACAATGAAGCTTATGATGGAGGGCATGAGTAATTGGAGGAATCAGGAAACACTTCATACAGAAGCTGGTGCTTGAGCAGTCTTGAAGGCTTTAGAAGGCAGAGAGGTAAAGGCATATGGGATAGTGGCTAGCTACAAAGGCATGGGGATGAGAGATGGGGACAAAAAGAGAAAGCCAGTTCATCTGCGTTGCTGAGGAACAGGCGGTAATGTCCAATGATCCCAATGAGGTAAGAGTTGTGTATGACTTCAAGAGCTAAACACAGCTGTTAATAGTTTATCCTAGAGGCAATAGGGAGTCACTCGGGCTTCTTGAGGAGGGGAGCCATGTCACAGTTGGCCTTTTGAGATACCCATTTCTACTAAAGAATGCATAGAAATAGCCTAATTAGCTCACGGAGCATCAATATTTCTTCCAAAGAAAAATGTCCTATTTTTAATGTCAAAGCATTAAACCAGAAACTCCAAGAGTCTTACCAACAGAAACATTTTGAAGTCCCAAATGTGTGTTCATATCTTTTAACTTTAGAAAAGAGGAAGTTTAAATGTAGACACTAATATAAGGAACATATGAAAGCTATAAATTTGCCTGTGAATGGGGTGGGAGGGGAGGCAGGTATGAAGATGCATTTTCTTTCCCAGCAAAGACAGGTTTGCTTGGATGTCTTGTGAGCTTAAGTTCTCTCTCCCTGCCCCCTCCTCTTCTTTGGTTTCTAATTATTCACTGGAAATGCTATGTGAATTACAAGAGGATTTATGTCAGTAGGAATAGAATTTGATGCATTTCGTTAAAATATACAAACCTGCTCCCCAACTAATGCTTCTATTATTAAAGTGCAGGCCAAACATTCTATGAAGAAAAACATACCTCACACTGGGAAGCTTCCATTTTTTAACCTTTGGCCAGCCCACCCTATTTACCCTGGCTTAGCCATCTTGTACATGAAACTTTTTCTGATCTTCCCAAAGGCTTGGGCCTTCTCCTACAAAATCACCTTGTACCTGTCTTCTTGTTTAGTTGTTTTCAGTCATGATCCATTTTTAGGGGTTTTCTTGGCAAAGACACGGAAGTGGTTTGCCATTTCCTTCTCCAGCTCATTTTACAGATGAGGAAACTGAGGCAAACAGAGTAAAGTGACTTGCCCAGGGTCATACAGCTAGTAAGTGTCTGAGGCTGGATTTGAACTCATGTCTTCTTGACTCCAAGCCCAGTGCTCTATCCATTGCACCCCCTAGCTGCCCTCTTTATCTTATTTATACATACATGTGTATACACACACACACACACACACACACAAACACACACACACATGCACAAGCTGTCTTCCCTGCTAGAATGTTCGTGCCTTGAGAACAAGAACTGTTTCACTCTTGTCTTTGCATATCCAATATTTAGTATAAC